TTTTTTTTTTCACAGATACAATCTGAAAAAAACTTTTTTTTGTTTTTTATGGAAACCGTGATCGTTTCAGTTAATTTAGCTGTTGTTCTTTCATAATTCTTAAATGTTTATTCTAAAGCTTCAAAAAAAATACTTTGCTTTGCTTTAACGAACAGTAGTGAAACATTCAGAAAAAATTGCTGAAAAGAGGTATATCAAAAAAAACAAAATTTTTTTTTGCCTAATAAGTGATATCCTACTTTAGTAGAAGAAACAACAAAAAAATAAACTGCTACTGCTATCGCTGCTACTACTATTAATAATATTGCTACCAATACTACTATGATTGCATTAGTATGTAACTTGACCACTGCTGGTTTACCGGCTGACTTAACAGCTCGCAAGTCCAATTTACCAACAGACGATTTAACGAATGTACTGATAAGGATGATGATCATAAATCCGGTTTAAGTACAAATTCAGTGCATAGCATGAAAATGAATTTAGAAAAAAAAAAGGAAGAAAGCACAAATTTTTATTTTTTATTTTCACTTTTCATTTCATAATTCATTTCATAAAAAATAAATTTTTTTTTTAAGTTACAGTTACAAAAAACACTGGCATTTCCTTCCTATTTACATGCACTTTTTTTGATCGGTAAAGGAAGAGGGACCGGGTAAGGGGGAGGTAGGGGAGGCATAGAGGAGGGGGCAAGTGAAAATGGTGGAAAAAGATGAAATTTTAGTGGAATAGTGCAAAGAGAAAATTTTCTACAGTTGCACTTTTTTTATGTACCGCTGTCAGAGACCCTTTTTTTCCCCTTTCTTTGTCAGTAGAATGGCAACTTAAATAGAATTTGTCATTCTTCTTTTCGCCCACCTCAGTCTAACTGAAAAAGCACAAAAAAAATGATACTTTTTTGCATAATTCTACACTATTAGCCAATGTAGAGAATTAATTTATTTTATTTCTTCTAATTATCTTTTTTTTACTCCTCTTTTTCTTAACGACAAAACAGTTCTTATTAATAGACATTTGAAATTTGAAAAA